GAGAGCTTTTTAAATAAGTGTTACGAAGAACACTTTGCAACAATTTTAGCATCTTAATCGAAAAAAACTCATCACTAAACGCAGAGCTAAGTTTTGGTTTACCTGATAAAGATTGTGAATAATGTCTGGAATCCCTAAAAGATTGACGGGATCGTGTATGAATGCCATGTGCGTGATGGAGCCAAGAACTTGCAACGTTGCCTGAAATTTGCACAGAAAATGAAATCACTCTCACTATACATTGTCAGTTTTTTTTATGTTTTCAAAAATCCGTATGGCTACAAGTATTCCAAACCTACACTATCGTTAATCCATAGTGTCGGTCGTCGAACACAGAGAAGATTAATCCACGCTCGCAAATACTGACCCGTATCATGTACATGTTTTGAGTAGTACTGAAAACAGAGATAACCCAATAGTTGTCAAGGGAGAATTGGAAGTGAGGGCAAAGCCATACCGACAATGACGAGCAAATAAGCCGCACAATAGGCGTTGGTTTTGACGATGGCCCAGTTATCCATTGCACCGCATAAGAGCATTGATCAACGTGTAGGACGCGATCGAATAATTCCATGAAGCTAAATCATTTTTCCTTGTATACGACTTCGGATTTCGTGAACAGACGAGTATGAGTGGAGGTTGAAATGCAAGTAATCCCTCTCCACTATCCCAAATCTGACGCTGGTTGGTTGAACTTACGCTTTATGTGAGCCAAAGGAGATAACTTTAGTATAGTGTTTCTGCATGAGCCTTGCCAGCAGTACGACGCATGCCGTTGAACAGCCTGCAGCAACTAAGTCGTTCATCAATGGCACACCTCGTTCCAAAAACACAGAAGGGCTGTAAAAGACGTAATTAAACACCAAGAAAAGTGACAGGTCAATACTGCGTATGTACCTTTCAAGACAGCTCTGGTCGATGTAGATAAAAAAGGCCGATAGGTCATTTTGAGGAGTGACGTCGTTTTGCTAAACAAAGTTCTGATTAGGAGAGCACAGAATGAAACAGTTTTTCAATAGCAATCGAAAAACCCAGCAAACTTGGATGAAAAATAATTTTCCTTCTCGTAAACCTTTGAATCTTTCTTACCTTAGGATTGAGTTTTATTTTGATCAGTATATCCCAACAAAACTGGTTGAAGAGCTGCTCGTGATCAGCCATACGGCTCGCCAATTTCGAAATCTGTCTAATCGACTTTGCTATCATGCCATTTGAGTGCCCACAGTGGATCGAGTGCGCCTATAGCAGGAAAATTCTTCGAAACGAAAGCCTCTAAGAACCACTTGTGATACATGGCAAACACCGACTTTCATCACTGTATCTGCAGATATTTCATGCACGGCTGGATCTAGCCAAAGTTGATCGCCGGCCTCATTTGGGCCCCAGTGAAGGCTCGATAAAATACGACGTGCCATACGGTTGGCCGCATCGTCAGGTGGCTTAAAAAAACTTGTCGTTAGGCAATTTCTTAGAAGATGCTAAGGCTTACCTTGTTAATTAGCCATTTTCCTAGGATGCTCAACATGGAAGGTGAGAGTTTGCAACCTGATAGATTTGAAGATGCCAAAACGTCAATAGCATACTGAAATGAACACAATACAATTCAATCACACCCTAGTTCAAGTGCATGTTCTTGAGTAGGCCAAACAGCGCGCTGATCGAGAGGACTAGCTCTTCTAGGCGTCAATTCATTACTCCTTCGGATCACTACTACGGCAAAACCAGAATACCAAGGGACGAACAGGGCAAAAAAGCGACGTGAATACTCATAGAAATTAACTCACATTATCCAT